ACACACACACACACACACACACACACACACACACACACACACACACACACACACATAGTTTTATTCATACATTTTTTCTCTTGTTGTATTTTCATATTTTTTAATTTGTTTGTCTTGTGTTTGTTGTTATATTGCGTTACTTTTTCTTTGTTTTGTCTGTGAAAGAACTTTGTAAACGTTCTGTTTCTAACGAAGCTATATACATAAAGTTAATGTTATTATTACAAGTACTTGATCAGCAAACTATTTAACTATTATATCTGATGTTTCTGGATTAATATCCAATGCTGCATTAATGTGCATGTTTAATTTGAACTGTCATCTGAGAAGTAACTAAAGCGGTCTAGTGAAGTAAAAAGTACCATATTTACCTCTTAGATGTAGTAGAGCAGAAGTATAAAGATGCACAAAAATGGAAACACTGAAGTAAAGTACAAGTCACAACTTGAATTTGTACTTAGACGCAGTACTTGAATACATGTGAGAGTTTTCATTGTTCTTTGTTCAAGTAAAGCTATTTCAATCAGGCCTACAGTTTCCAGGTTTAAGCTACATTTTCACATATAATTTGACTAAAACATAAAGTAACTTAACAGCCTGCCTTACCTTGCCCGCTAGAGTCCGAACAGGATGTGCTGTTTGTTCAGGAAACCAACTGGAAATACCAGAGACTCCACCTGCTGCAGGTGAGAATCAACAAACCAGTGTTTGCTCTGTTTGACTCACAGTCCTGGATTCAAACATCCTGCTGGTTACTTTTTTTTTTTTTTCCTTTCATTTTTGCTCTAATTATAAAGCACTAAAAACCGTTTTTATTTCAGCTAAAAAAAAAGAAGCTTCCAAACTTTGAGTTAAAATGACTCTCAGCCCACATGGAGGAAGCTCTCACTGTAACAACGTTATCACACTATTTTAAAAGCTTTACTGTCATTGTTTGCACAGTTCAACACTGAATTGAGACTCCACTTAAAATGTTTATAGTATTAAAGGTGCAAAGATACGAGATTGAGAGCGTTTCGATTGCTTTTTAACGGCTCTCAACATGACAACATCGTAGATAACGATGCTAACATCGCTAACAGTACAAACGTCCTGAGAGGGATAACAGTGTTTACCTGAGGGGAAACCGGAGGGTGGGTGCTACGCTTCCACGACGGGACGGCGTTATGAGTTCAACTTAATAAGGAAGTAAATAAAGAGTGAATAAAGAGGAACAGTGTTCCTTAATTTCATTTGTCTTTTGTCTCGATCTCCAGGTGATATGCTGGTTCACTTTTACACTTTATCTTCTATCTTTATCTTTTTAACCTGTTTAACATGTCAAAACACATATTGTATGTAGACCTTTCTGTCTGCTTCTCTGTCAAATGGCTTTTTCCAAAAGTTAGATAATATGTCTTCAGGGACTGCAGTTAGTGACAGTGTGGGCTCCGTGGTAACGTAGCTCTGACACCTTGACGGAGTAGCGGGGGGGGGGGGGCGTGGCTTAGTCAAGTGATAATTAAAGTGGTAAAATAAAGCATTAGCATTTTTGACACGTTTTTTGTTTTACCAAACAAGACTTCAAGATTAGGTAACAAAACAGGAGCTTGTTGTGTCTGATTTAATGTCACAAAAAAACCTATTAATACACAGTGAGTTCAGGGATTTTGGGGGCAGTTGGTTGCTTTAATCCAATATGTAAATATGTTACCTTCTTTTGTTCACCTTTAGAACCTTTGCTCTGGATGTTCAAAGTGTTTGACAAGTGGGAGGAAAGAAAAGAGTTTTACTGGCTGATGGAAAGAAACTGAGTGTCCTTTTCTCTCTTTTTCTTCCTGGAATTTTTTTTGATGAATTCTTCTTCAAGGTTATTATAATGTTAATATTTTTCATTGTGAGCTGCTGCAGAGCTTCATGGCCGCTGACTCACTCGACTCTTTCTCTCATACATACAAACACACTCGCCCACAGAAACCGCTGCACAAACACAAACTCACCCACGTTCTCTTTCTGTTACTGAAGAGTTTAAATGGAGTCATTACGCATAAAGGAGCCACGCACTCTCCGAGATGTTTCAGGTTACATAAAAGGTTGAACCTTGACGAGAAATATTTTAGGAAATAGTGTTATTGTCTGTCTTTATGAGAGAGACAGAGATGGGAAGATTGATAAGTAAGGATGTTAAAGGAACATTCATTTCATAAAATAAATGTGGCTATTGTTGCTCTGTTGCTGATGTTGCATGTTGTAGAGATTTGGGGAAACGAGTACACATGCAGAACAACATATCAGGGCAAGCTTTGCAAAAAAACACTTGTTTCTGAGTCTAAATGAAAGTAAACGCTGAAAGAATGCCCACTACTGCGTTGTTTTGTTTGAGTTCAAGTGCTAAGAAAATATGAACACTCCTCTGGTTGTATAGAAGTCTATGAGAAAATGACTCTACTTTTCTCTTGATTTATTACCTCAGTAAACATTGTAAACATGAGTTTATGGTCTCAATCTCTAGTTTCAAGTCTTCTTCAATACAGCATGATGTTCATTTAGTACATTATGGTCCATTTAGAGTCACATAGACCATAAAGCAGGGGATGCTTTAGGGCGGGGCTACACAGTGATTGACAGGTCTCTACCAGAGACGTATACGGCGTCTCTACGTCACTCCTCCTCAGTCCAGATATGGTCACTTCTTCAACTTTTTGTTAAAAACTAGTTCACAACCAAACTCGTCCTTCATAAAAATCCATACAAAGTCCTGCAAAAGAAAAAATCCTCAAAGACTTGTGACTACATCTGTTCGACTAAATGTCAAAATATGCTGTTGGTCTTCAGGTAAAAGAGAGAACAAGAGAAAGAGAGAAGACCTGCAGCTCACTGCTGCAGATATATTCATGAGCAACAAGACATGGTTAATATTTAACAATGTCACCGTTAGTTAAAAAACTAATAAATGGCATGAACACTTACTCCTGCTCTGTAGGAAAGCAAGAGTATGCATGTAAATAATATTAAAAATAAACACTCTTTTCTGTGAGGTGGAAGTACCTTAAGTTTCCAAAACTGCATTCAGATATTTTTATATTTATTCACTCACCGAGCCCCTGGCGGATTCCCTGGCGGGTTTTCTTCCGGTGGGTGTGACGGTGCTCCAGACACGGCATGCCGCCGACGCGTGAGAAACACAGCTTCTTGTTGATGAAGAGGAAGAGGACGGCCAGCGCCACGATGAAGACGCCCACCGCCGACAGGAAGCCGATGGCCTCTGGGGGGACTGGCAGGAGGAGGGAGAGGGGACACACAATGACACACTGATCAGACCACACAAACAGGCAGTCTGGACACACACACACACACACACACACACACACGCAGTACGCATGGTACATGTGATGCACACAGACAGAACAAGTGACACTTTAGTATTTGAGTTACCCTCGGTGCCTTGCTCAAGAGCACACAGGTGTTTTTTGTTTTCAAGCAAAAATTTAAAATAAAATTTTTTCTTCTGAATTTATTGTTCGTCAGTTTTTCCTTTACTGAGACAAATAAAGTCCTCAACCAAGGCCCTGTCTACAAAAATAAAAAATATAAATTCTATCCACACGACTGGCTGAATAGCTTCAGCTGCTGAGCTCTGATTGGAAAATCGTTTTTTACAAAATATTTTCCGTCCACACCAGAACGCAAAAAACGACCCCAAAGCTCGCCGGGCCGATAGCTTGCACTAAAGGCTACGTCTACAACACGCCGGTCCAGGTGCTGACTGCTAACGCCATGTTGGAATACGGCCGTCGCCACGTTGTTTTTCAGATGTCTCAGGTTAGATTGGTGAAACAATGTGTTTCACAAACACATTTGAGGATGAGGACTAACTCGTGTTCCTGGAGCTTCACCAGATAAACACAGAGCAGGATGGAGCTGCTAGTTAACATTTTATTTCCCAGACCAAGGAGAACAGTAAGCTAGTTAGCTGACCATGCTAACGTTGTGTCCGGCTACGGTTGATAAGCTACGATTGTTTTTCATGGAAGGTTTGATGAACTAATGCTGTCAATATGTCCGGAAAAAAACTTTTTAGACTTTGGTACAAGAAAGTTGAGCAAAAACAATAAAAGTTTGATTTTGCATGAAAATGAAAAGAGATTTGAAAAAAGATCTCACAAACATCTGAACTTTGAACACAGAGTAAAGAAGAGTAATATATATAAGAAGAAGAAAGACCGTAAGTTCATTTATTTGACATTGGACATGTTAAACATCGTATATCAGTTTGATATGTTACTTAAACAGGTTTATTTACAATTGTATGTCAGCTTACAGCAGAGCAAGAGCCTTTGATGAATGTTTGCTAAAGTGCAAATAATCAATGTATATTTACATTTACAACTATGTACATTGCAATGTTAAGAATGCAGACTGAATATTTCGTATTGGCTATATTTTCAGTTTTCACCAGCATGCCAATGGGGAAGAGTGACAGTAAAAGGTGAAACTTACTACGACTCTTCTTCATTGACTACGGTTTAACTTGGTGTTTAATCAGTTTCGACACACTGCAGTGAAAGAAAATAGAGAGGAGGAGGAGGAGGAGGAGACGGAGACGGATGAATGTAAATGACAGGTAGAGAGAAGCCAGAAAATGATGGAGAGGCAGAAAAACATCTGGACCGAAATAGAATGAAAAGAGTGATGAAAGCTGGGAGTGAAGAAACCAGAATGATCGAAAAACAAAACAGAGAGTAAACAAACAAGAGGAGGAAGAGAGGAGCTGAAGGGGAGATGAAGAGAGAGAGAGAGAGAGAGAGAGAGAGACAGACGAGGCATACTACTCTCAACACGGATGAATAGAAATTACCGGGGGGGGGCACAGTCTCCCGTTTCCACGGTAACGTCTCAGAGAGCAGAGAAGTGAATCAATGGCAGCAAACGGAGACGAGTGCACATCCTGCAGAGAGCCGACGCCAAAGGAAGGACTGGAGGGCGTAGGAGTGTGTGTGTGCGTGTGTGTTTGTATGTGCGTGTGAGGGTGTATGTGTGCATGTGTGTGTGTGTGTGTGTGAGGGTGTATGTGTGTATGTGCGTGTGAGGGTGTAGTACTATTACATGTTTTATGTATTTCAGACACCACCGTGTGTGTTTTTCGCTCTCTCTCTCTTTTCACGTTTATAGAAACTGAATCTCACACACTGTACAGAAGCACCTCGTCAATCTGCAGCCGAAAACATCCAATCACATCGCCAAGCAACTGTGTGTGTGTGTGTGTGGTGGCGGTGAAATAATGAGCAACAACAGCAGCTGGTTTAATCCATCCCTCCACATGCACCAGTATTTGTTTTAGTGGTGGAAGAAGTACTCAGATCATTTACTTAAAAAGGTACAGTGTGCAGCGTTCAAGGGTTCAATATAATGACTATATATAATATAATAAGTGTCTTTTATTTAGTGTTTAATCACCTGAAAATAAGAATCGTTGTGTTTTTGTAAGCTTAGAATGAGACAGTTATATCTACAGACGACTTAACGGTGGTTTTGGACTTTGTCAACTCAGATTTCTTTCGTGAAATAGTGAAATAGTGCTGAATGACTTCTGAACTCTGGTAAACACATTATTTAAAGTGCTGCTTTTACAGATCTTTCGGTGAAATAAACTAATCGATTAGTCGACATAATTGTACAAATGTTAGTCGACTAAGAATTTCTTTTGGTGGAGGACAGCTCCAATGTTTCTACTGAAGCCCAGAACGCTGGCTCTAGATATTCACGTTTTCATGTTGGTAAAAGTAATAAGTAAATATTTTAGAGTAAAGTAAAAATTCTCCTTTATCGTGCTGCATTTATGTTTTTGCAAATGTTACTTAAGTAAAGTATTAGCATGAAAAATATACCTGAAAAACAAAAGTAACAGTAATGTTACTTAAGTAAAGTAACAACATAATCTTGTCTCTCGTCCATGTTTCTATTTAACTTAATTAAACATCATTTATTTGCTTTGCACGTGTTGTTTTATATGATTCAATGTAGTATAAGAGTGTCCTGAATGTTTCTCATATTAATATTCTCTCTTCTCGTATTGTTTCTGCATGCTTGTAAAGGGGTAAATAATGCAGAACTTTGTAACTTTTAATCTTATATTCTGTTTGACTTTGTAACATCTGTCCAGTGACTGCAGATGAAAAAAAGCCTTTTTGGCTAATTCTGGCGCATTTACAGGACTGTTTTATTAATGTGCTATGTCCCTGCCAAATAAACCAATAAAATCAAATAAATATGGTACAATAACCAATGGACCGATACCTTGGAAAGCCAAGCATCAGGCTGTTTGAACTGACCAACACAGTAACATTCATCTTAAAATGCTGCCTGAGAAAGAGGCCATAACATCCCCAAACCACTCAACTAACACCCGACTTTATAACATGAAACATGCAGTGTTTTCTTCCTAAAAACACACACAACACGACAATCTCTCGACCCACTTTCTTTATGTTCAGCTGCTGTTCACTCCCACAGAGAGAGACTAACTCATGACAGACGCAGCATGAGAACACACTTCTGTAACACAGTTCCACTTTTACGAAAAACATCATGACAGAGAAGACGCTCCTGTACTTTTAAAACCTGCAGGTGCTGATGTATCGCTGGTTAATTAATTATCTTTTTATCTGTTTTTAGTCCACACTAGCAGGATGACTTCAGGGGTTCACCCGAAGGTATAATATATCTTTCAGGACTAAGACCTCTTTGAAAGAAGGTAGAAAAGCCGACTGTGAATACGACTCTTAATTAATTAAAATGAGCACAGAGTGACAGTAAACGTCTGGACGGTGTGTTCGGGTGCCGCCGTAAAGTGGGAGTTTCCCCTCTCAGCTGCTCCGACTGTCACAGACACACTGAGCTCAGTGTTGGAGACCCAGAGAGTCTCCTACTGTCCACGTCCAGATGGACAGGAAGAAACCCCCGGGTCAAGGTCTGGCCTCACACCTGCTGCGCACGCACGCACGCACGCACGCCCGCACGCACGCACACACACTATTTGTGGGCCACAGAGGAGGATTTGTGGTGGTTTAAGTGACCTCAATTTGCCTCAATTATGTAAAAACAAGAACAATAAAACTGAGAGAAAAGTTCAGTTTTTAGCTTCAGTTTCATCCGTTTCTTCTTTCCCTCACTCAGAGACAACAACATTTACATTTGTATACTTTAGATTATGAATCTTAAAAATAATCCCAGCGGAAGGTGAGTCGTGTTGTCGGCCCAGCAGGAGATCAGCTGATTATTGATGAAACAGTTTGTCGAACGTGTTAAAGTCAAATTATGAAGAATGAACGTACAAATGAGGATTAAGGAGGCGATGTGACCCAGAAGTCAATATGAGAGGCATCGGATCAGAGCTAATGAGACGAGAGAAATCTCACAACACCGCTAATCCGACAGCGACACGGTAGTGAAAAGGTTGTTTGTGTGTGTGAATACTAAATCTCCTGATTACTATGCAGCTGCTGACTTTTCCACCCCGGCTTTGAAGTGAGGAGCTCCAGAGGAGAGAAGAGAGCACTTTGATGTGAGGAGGAGGAGGAGGAGAAGAAGACGACGAAGGCCACGTTGTTACCGCTCATTAAGAAAAGATCCAGAAGAGGACGAACACGGAGCTTTGTAGTGCTTTTTCCTCTGTCTTCTTTTTCTAGCGAGGAATAAAACAGAGCTCCTGCTGTTTCTTTCAGGTCGTCGTAAGGTCACTCACTAATGTGGGTAATTAGTTTTAGGGCTGTGTGTGTGTGTCCTTATTTACAACAACACACAGCTGAACGCTACGTCCTCAGTATTCAGATCATTTACTGAAGTAAAAGTATCAAGTATCAGTATATCAGTGTACTTTGAAAGTACAAATACATATGTAAACTTGCATAATCTGTTTTAAATCACTTCTTAACACCCATTTTTACATACGGGCTTTTATGTCGTCTTTTTACTGTTTTATTTTATTATTGTTATTATTTAAAAAAATGTATTATCATTTTTTAAATTTAATTTATTACATTTTTTTGTATATATATTTATATATAATATTTATTTGTGTTTCTTAGTTTGTTCTTATCGTATGGATTGATGTTATTATTTCATCTATTTTACTGTCTCATCTTTCTGTTTTACTTCGTCCGTCAAAGCACAAAGTAAACTCTATTTTTAAAGGTGCTGTATGAATAAAGTTATTATTGAGCCTCCTCTGTGGTCCTAAAGATGATGAACATGGTGATGTCATCGTCATCATCATCATCAGGACCAATCTGAGATGTTAAATCACTGCGGAAATTCAATTTTAAGTCATTAAATGTG